CGTGTCCCCAGGAACTCGCTGTGCTGTGACCCTGTTCAGAGCCACCGAGCGAGGCGAGGCGCCACGCCACCAGGCCTGCCTTTGACACTTGAAAGCTCGGCAGGCATCCTCTGAATCGTGACCACCGCGTCGGAAAAGCCTTTCTGTAGGGACAGCTCCTTCTCTTTGGGGATCGGTGCTCATTAGCGTGGCGCGGGCGACTTTCCTGGGGGAGGGAGGACTGTGGACTTGAAGTGACTTCGGTCTATCCGGCACTGGCTCTGGGCCAGCGGCCGCTCCGGCCCCTTACACAGACGAAGTCACCGTCGCACACTTGCTCCAGGACGGAGCTCCCGAGCCAACCGAGCCCGTGAGAAAAGTCCAGCACACGTCACAGCAAGATCAGCCCGCCGGGGTGGCCACGGCCATCGCACCCCTGTCATAGACGAAGGGACGCAGGACAGTTCTCAGACATGGCCCAGGGCTGAGCGGCTGATTTGTCCTGGAAACCAGGGCCTCGTGCAGGCAAGGCCTGGTTCAGTGGTGGCCTGTGTTTTACTCCACGTCCTCTAAGGGCTGCCCGCAGCTTTCACACCACTTACTGCTGTCTGTATTTTTCCTCCTTCTTATAACCAAAAAGAATCTGGAAGAAAGAACAAAGCCTGAGCCCCGAGACCATGCCCCCCAATCCTTTTCCCGTCTGTCTGTCTTGAAACAGCAGCCTGTGTGCTTCCGCAGATGCTGAAGGGATTCTGAGTCAGCCCACCAAGCTAGTTTCTGTTTTCCTCGGGAAGTCCAGCATTGGGTTAAAGACGCAGAGTCAGGTGCTGGGTGCCGTGGGCAGAGGACAGACGCGGCCTCACTGTTGCGTGCAGGACGATCACGTCTTTTGACTCTGCATGAGGTCATTTACGCAGCCTTCTTCCACCTCACTCTGCAAAAGAAGGGCCAAGCTCTTCCCCAAAGCTCCTTCCAAGTCTGCCTGGTCCCCTCCCTTCCACCCACCTGATCCCACCCCGGACCCTGGCCTCTTCTCCACCCAGGCCACTGCCCCTCTCCATCTGCAGGGATGAGGCCGAGACTGAGCTGGTCTTCAGGGACTCATCTTTCCTGCTCCCCACCCCTGCCACGTTCACCGTCCTTTCCCTGGAATTGTCCTGTCACAGGGAATGCTACTTTTTTCTTTTTTGTGTGTGGTCCTGGGTTTGAACTCAGGGTCTCGCACTTGCTAGGCAGGTGCTCTACCACTTGAGCCACAAAAGCCAGTCTTTTTTGCTTTAGGTATTTTTTGAATAGGGTGTCAAGTTTATGCATCAGGCAGCCTGGCCCCCAGTCCTATTTATGCCTCCTGCATCGCTGGGATGACAGGTGTGCACCACCACGCTTACCTTTTATTGGTTGAGATGGGGTCTTGTGAATTTTTTGCCAGGCACAATCTTGAGCCACAGTCCTTCCCATCTCTGCCTCCTGAGTAGCTGGGATTGCAGGCGTGAGCTACCATACCTGGTATAAATGCCACTTTGCCAGTGGTCCTCCCTGACCATCCCCTGTCGCTCCCTCTCCACAGCAAGGCACACTGTTCTACCTTCTAAGCTCCCTCCCCCCATCTGCCACACCTCAGGTCACCCTCCCAAGTGTGGCAGACACACAGGTCTGCTTTCCCACCCTGGCCATATGCCGTGTGCCTTCATCCCCAAGAAGAAGGGCCAGGAAGTGCTGCTGTGAAGATGAAACGGCTTAATCCACATGGACCCCGAGGGCCCAGGCAGGCAGAGGGCTGAAGGACCAGGGCAAGGACTCAGCTGCCCAGTCAGGACACATCCTGCTTGCTGCCTTGTGACCAATTAATCCCCATCAGTGATGGGAGGATGAGGTCACGCCACCAAGGTCTGTTAGAGGACTGACCAAATGCCCTCCAAGTGCTCAGCTGCCCCACACTCATTCCCGTGCTGGACAATCACCCACTGACCTCGTGCTCTTGGGTCCACTGGAGATTGCTGGGTTCCTTTCCTGGCTCTGCCCTTTACTTGCTGTGTGACCCTGGGAATTCACCTAACCTCACTGCACATCAGGCTCTTCCTGTGTAAAGTGGGCTGACAAAACAGATATTCAGCGAGGTGTCCTGGCCGAGCAGTTTACTTTTTTTACTGTAATGACGACTGTATGTACAGATGGACACTTGGCTTGGTGCTGGGCCCAATCCCGCTCTGTCCTAGGGAGTTTCTTACTCCCTGTTGGAAACTTCTGCTCTGGCCCTCTCTGTGACCCTGCAGGACATGGTACATACAGCACCTCACATCTCTGATGCGCTTCCAGGCACAGTGGGATACCCCACTGTTACCGGGCTTTGGGGGCTTCAGATGTTCCTTTCTTGGGTACGGTGTCTAAATTAGGACATTGCCCAGAATGAGGCAGGCAGTTCAGGTAAAGATTGGGTTTTTCAGTAGGGTGTACTTACTAGGTGGCACATCAGGGCCCTCCCCTGTGGCCATCCTCCAGTGGTTTGGCCCCTGGGCAGAGCCTGCCTGAGTACTTGATCCTCATCAAGTCTTGTCTATCTGCCTGTGCTAACACCACCTTGAGATGCTTCCTCCAACACATGAAGCACACCCGATGGGTTCTGTCCTCTTCTCTGCCAGACCGTGGAAGCTATTGGACCCCGCCTGACACAGAGGTGTTGTGCAGCTGCTCACAGGCTGGCTGCAAGAAGCAAACAAGCCATGGCTGTGTAACCTTGACAGTCACCTTGTCTGGACTGTTTCAAAGACTTCACCTCTCAGACCTGCCACCAAAACAGTTGTGGTGGATTCTGGAGCTAAGGCCCAGTGGTTGTGCTGGTAAGCAATCTACAAATTATGTAAGCAACTGTACCTTTGGAAGTCCTGAATAGAGCTGGAGTGCAAGGGCTAGCAGTGTGTGTGTGTGTGGCAGTACTGGGGTTCGAACTCAGGGCTTTGCACTTGCTAGGCAAAGCCTATGCCCGCCCCAGTCCTTTATGCTTGTTATTTTTGAGATAAGGTCTCGTGTCTATGCCCAGGCTTGCCTGAACCTGTCATCCTATCCTAGATGACAGACACCCAGCTTTCTAACTTTTAAGCTTTGATGCTTTTCTTAAAATTAGATGTGAGATCAGATTTCAGCTAAGAGAGAGGGGGGAGAGAGAGAGAGAAGCAGCTTGCTCCAAGTGTTCCAGCTGCTCCCGTCAGCTCTCACTGCCTTCACTGGCTGCAGTTGAACCAGCAGCACCTGGCCTGGCCACTTGGTTCAGATCCTCCGACATTGTAAACAAGATCGCTGTCTGGACGGAGCACACCGAAATGCGTTCAGGCTAAACAACAACACAGGTCTTACCATGTCTTTGAACTTGTCTCTCCTTGGAACTGAATCTTAACAGCCTGCACGCCCGGGTGTGGTGGCTCTGTGGTGGCCTGTGAGCCCCTCAGTGTCACAACCACTGCCTGCCCAGCTCACAGCTGCACATGGACGAGGTTGTCTTTTTGGATTCTTTAGAAGCTCGGCTCCATGTTTTTATTTTCCCTCAGAGTCACCAAAAGTAAACTTTACGTCCACCCATACACACGTGCTTAAATGTCTCTGTATGTCCATCTTATCAGGTTTGGAGGGGAACAATCCACAGATAAGTTGTGGCCACTTACAAAACCTTTTTCCATTCTGATGTAATGCTGAAAGCATTCTGGATTTTACGTTTATTTATGCTGCCTACCTAGTTGGTGTCTGATTTCTGGGATCTGACTCCAAAACACCCAATCATCTGTCCCCAAAGCACTGGAGCTGCTGTCAAAGGTGGGATCATGACCTCAGACTGTGCTCCTGAACACGCTCTTTAGAAAGCAGCCACAGTGACCAGGAAGGACATAAGGACGTAAGGGCTCACTCCTCTGAGTTGCTGTCAGGTCGGAGCAGGACAAGTACAGAGCCTGTGGATAGCCCAGTTATTCCGTTTCCTGACACAGTAGGGGTATTCTGTGCCCTGACACCCTTCCAGCTAGAACTTGAGTATATCTGCCTTTGCCCAGAAGACCCTGGTCCTACTCCAGGCCTCCCAGCTGCCCAGCTGTAGCAATGCATCCCGGAAAAGGCCTGGGTGCTATGAAGTGACCAGGCTACTGGACAGCTCCATACTGGGCCCCCCCCCCCACACACACACACAGCACCCGCCTTACACCTCTCTTCTTTAAGTTCATCCCTTGGCCAGAGCTGCGCCAAAGTGGCCACTCCAGACCAATGCACACAGCTCTGTCCAGGTACAGTGTGATCTGGCAGGTCATCTGAACTCTGATTTAATTCCCTTAAGCGGCTGTCTCTGCTCTGATGTCTTCCAGGAGGCCATCCAGGCTGGCAGTCCAGGCTCCTGGAGGAAGTGGGTCTGCCTGTTATGAAGCCCAGGATGTCTAGCTACCATGTGTCCCAGAAACCACGTCCTACTTCCCACTAACTGCACTGAAAGGCTCTGAAACTCAGGACTGAGATATTCTGCCATTCTGGATCCATATCCCTAGCATTGTAGGGAGAACGTTATATGGGACATGTGCACACTTGGAGCTTGCCTGAAAAACAGAGGATGAACATTTTTTCTCCCCGGACAGAGGAGGGAAACCTCACAACACACAGCGACTAGCAGCAAACTAAAGAATGTCTTTTATTTTTAATAAAATAGTGGAGCATGAAAAAATACCATATATTACAAATGTACACAGGCAGGAAATGCCATTCCCTGGCTGGTAGGGGAATCGCTACCCAAAGTTTGTCTGTAGTCCCCTGATCTGTTCATTTGTTTAACAATCAAAAGTCAATAAACTCTTTGGGTACTTTTGAATGGTCCTTCTCCTCTCCCCCTCCCTTCCACAAATAGTCCCAACATGTATTCCATTAAAAAGCCACAAAATGTAACACTAAAGAGTTTGAGGCTGGGCTCTTAGTCCTTTTGTTAGAAGATTTCTTGTGTTGTCTTTATGTACAACAAAATATTGTTTCTCTTTTTATTTTCGTGGAAACAGAACAAAGAAACGTATTGCACATCATTGGGATTGACAATTGGGGGTAGGTTTCTGTCTTGGAGAATAGATCTGTGGAGGCTGGAGTCTATTTTAAGACACCCCAAAGCCTCCTCAGTGAGGAGTGTGAAGACGGTTGGGATCCTTCTGTCCACACACACAGCAGCCTTCCCGGGTGAGGGCCCTGGGATGGTTCATTTTCTAACCCAAGTGAGTCGATTTAGTTTGCCAAGAAGTTATCTGGCCTCCTTTGTAAGTGTGCAGCAAATTCTAGGCAGTAAGTTTTCTTCTAAGGGCTCAATCAACTAACTACACCACAAATTAGTCATACAAGAGGCTCCTTAGCTGAGGAACCTCCTGCCAGGGGAACACAAAACAAACCAGACCCTTTAAGTAGGTCTTTACTTTCAGCTTATCACAGCATCCTGAACTGCAAGGTAAAAACATTTTATTTATATATATATATACGTCTATATATATATATTTTTTTAACTTTTATTTTAAAAACCAATCAGCCCACCATGGGCCTTTCCCTGTGCTCTGGTCCCTCCAGGCCCCTTCACACACAGGCCGGAGGCTGGGCAGGGAGCTCATATTTCCCCAGCTGAGGTTTTTGGGTGTGCTGAGCTTTTTTGTAAATCCCTGAGCTGGCGATCACGCTGGCCGGTTTCCTCCGGCTCTTTCTCTTTAGCCCCCGGCTGCAAACAAGCTGCCAGGACTGTAGGGTCTTGGAAGTCCAGATCCACACGCCACTGGTGATGCCCACCACCAGAAGCATGGAGATCTTCACTATGAAGACCTCAACCGCAGGGATAGAGGCAGCCATCAAGCAGTCCACCGTCTTGGTCTGGCTGTTCACTTTGCACTTGTGCTGGGCGGCCAGCATCTTCCAGTAATCCATGTTGAGCCTTTCGTAGAAGTAACAGGCGATCACACAGGTGGCAGGCACAGTGTACAGCAGGGAGAAGACTCCAATCCTCACCATGAGTTTCTCTAGCTTGTCTGTGTTTTCCCCTCCAGTTTTCATGACCCTCCGGATGTGGAACAGGGCCACGAACCCAGACAGGATAAAGGAAGTGCCGATGACCAGGTAGCAAGCCAGCGGGACCAGCACAAAGCCGGTGAGAGCGTTCACATCCATGCTGCCCACGTAACACACACCGGTGAGCTCATCCCCTGCCACCCGACGCATCACCAAGATCAGGATGGTCTTCACAGCCGGGATGGCCCAGGCTGCCAGGTGGAAGTAGCTGCTGTTGGCCTCGATGGCTTCGTGGCCCCATTTCTTGCCAGCGGCCAGGAACCAGGTGAGCGTGAGGACCACCCACCACAGAGAGCTGGCCATGCCGAAGTAATACAGCACCAGGAAGACCAGGGTGCAGCCGGTGCTCTCCAACCCCTCCTGGATGACGTACAGCTGCCCGCTGTCCCGGTCACAGGCGATGCTCTCCGCACCCGCGAACAGGCGAATGATGTAACCCACCGAGTACACACAGTAGCACATGGACAGGAAGATGATGGGGCGCTCCGGGTACCTAAAGCGGGCCGGGTCAATGAGGAAGGTGAGCACCGTGAAGGCGCTGGAGAAGAAACACAGCACGGACCAGATGGCTAGCCAGACCACAGCGAAGCGCTTGTCCTCGCGGCTCCAGTACACGTCCACGCCGGGCGTGCAGAGCGGCGCGCACGACGCGCTCTTCTCCACGTGGTGGAACTTGCCGGGGTTGTCGCAGCCCGTGCGCCCTGGACTCCCGTCCCTCAGCTGGTGCTCCTGTGCGCCATGGGGGCGCTGCGGCCTGAAGAGAGGCGGGAACATGCCCGAGCCCCGGCTGGGCTCGTCGGAGCCATTGTTGGGCGCCTCCATGCACAGGTAGTTGGGGTCATTCTTGTTGGGGAGTTTGCTGCAGTCCAGCGAGTCGGGCCACTTGAAGTTGAACTGTTCCATGATGGGGGAGCACTTGAGCCGGGCCTGCTCACACATGACGCGGCAGGCGGGGATGGGCGTGGAGACCTGCTCGGTGCACATCGGCGCGTACAACGAGCACAGAAAGAAGCGGAGGTGGCCGTGGCAGCCGTACTCCACCAGCGGCGCGAACTCGTGGAGCTGGATGGCGGCCTCGCGCTGGTTCTCATGGCCCATCAGGTTGGGCAGGCGGGTCATATTGTAGCCAATGTCCTTGCACATGGGGATCTCGATGGGCTGGCACTTGCCATCTCCTGGACGCTCCATGTCCATGGAGCTGATGGCAGCGCACGAACCCATCACCTGCAGCACCAGCCACAGGCGGGGGTCCAGGTGTTGCATGGTGGCGTCGGAGGTGTCCCCGCGGGGAGGTCCGCGCCCCTCAGAGCCGCCGCTCCCGGGCCCTGGCTGTTGGCCCCGGCTCTGCGCCCCTGTTCGGGCCTCGGCCCATTCCCGCCCAGCCTGGCCCGAGCGCTGCGCACAGCGCCCCCGGCCCTGCTCTGGGAGCGCGGCCTGCGCCGAGCCGGGGACTAAGGGGGAGGGGAGCAAAGTTTACAAAACAATACCGGGAAGCGACAGAAGCCGCCGGGGCTCTCGGCGCCGCCGCCCGGCTCGGGCTTCAACTCACTGCGGCGGCGGCGGCAAACTTTGGCTTCTTCTTGGCCCGCGCGTCCGGAGAGAGAGGGCGCAGCGCGGGCGCACAGTGGCCCGGCCAGCTCGCGGCGCGCAAGGGCCCGGGCGGCTCCTCCCTCCCTGCGCCGGCCTCGCTGGGCCCCGCCGGCAGCTGTTCCGAGGTTTGCGTCCCAGGATGAGAAGACTCGCAAAAAGGCAAAGGGGGGGAAAAAGGCGATTGGTGACAGGCCCCGCCCCCGGGCCGCCGCCCCGCCCCGCCGCTGCTTTGCATGAGAAAGCGGAGCGCCCCGGGGCAGCCTGGGCCCGCCGCCCCGCCGCCCCGCCGCCTGCCCCGGTCCCCGCGCCGTGCGCCCCGGACGCCCCGCCAGGCGCGCGGGCTCCGCGCACTGCGGCGCTGCCCGCCTGTCCCGCCCGCCCGCCGCTCCGCCCAGCCTCCAACTTTACCTCCCGCTGCCCCCTTTCCCGGGGGAGCGGGGTGCTGGGGACTGTCCCCGGCACCCCAAGGACGCCGAGGTTACGGGAAATTCGGGAGCTGGCAGAGACCCGGAGTGGGGTGGGGGGGTGGGGAGGGTCCGCGGGAGGGGATTTGGGGCTGGGGGAGAGGCTGGGAGTCGTGGGGTGGGGGGGCGCATCTTCTACTTTTATGGTGTGTCCCGGGGCGGAGTGCGCTTTCAAAGAGGGGTGGGATTTGCGTTTTATGGCTTTGGCCATAAAATGGCCCCTTAGCTTGTAAACCTGCCTGCATCTTCCCGAGACCAGGGGGGTGACCAGCCCGGGGCGCGGGGCTCTGGCTCCGGGGAGAGGCTTGCTTTGAAATTTCAAAGAGACAAGCGAAGGGGAGGGGGAGGGGACCTGGGAAGCCAGATTTTTAGGGCTGCTCATCCAAGGCCTCCTCCTAGAAGGCGAGGAGGGGGGAGGGGAAGGGGCGGCTTTCCTGGCCTTTTAACACCCCCAACCTCCCGGGAAGAGGGGCTTGGCTTGAATCGCAGTGACCCCCGCCCCTCCCAGGCCACCGTGTGGCGGGCCTCCCTCCAGCGCCAGGCAGGCCGGTGATTTCTTTAGGCGGCTGAGTTTATTTATTATGGGAAGTCGTTCGCTGCTCGGGTGTTTATATTCTTTGGCGAGTGATGTGCCCGGCCCGCGCCCTCGTCGGAGGTGGAGGGTGGGCCGTGGGAGCGCGCGGCGTGGGAGGCAGAGGCCCGGCGCGCGCCGCTGGTTCCCAGGGAAAGTGGAGAAAGAAGCCCTGGAGAGGCTCCGGTCGCCCTCCTGCCCTCCCTCCCATTCTCGGATTTGGGCCAGTTTGTGAAACTGTCACTCGGGACACAGTGTCCCTCCTCCTGCTACACAGGCCAAGCCCCATAGGTGCCCAAGAACACCTGGGCTTCACCTCTGTATCCTAACCCTTGGATAAGCAGTCCTCTAAAAGATGACCAACTCTCTCCCGTTACCCTACTAGGTCTGGCCTTTGAAGTGCTTCCGAAACATACAAGCCAAGAGAGCCTTCTCCCACCACCTGCAGAGGGCCAATTTGGGGACCCTCCTGGGTGGCAGGAGAAGGTCTGGTGAGCCTTGGACACATTGTCTTACTGTCCATGCAGCTCAGCCTGGGCATATGGGGTGTGCGATGTCCTGGAACCCATGCTGGCCTGGTGGTGGCAGGAGCTGGGTGGGTCTTTGGATTGGGCCAGCCACTCTCCAGGAAGTCTTCAGGAAAGAGAAGGAGAAGAAGGGGGCCTCCCTGCCCAGCCTCCTGTGAGCGGTGGCAGACCCATGCACTTCCTCTGGGAGGATGGCTTTAATTAAAACAAGCCTACAGTTTTACATCCACAGGAAACTTGTAGAGAGGTCATTCATTCATTCATTCATCCACTCATCAGAGCGGTGTGGACTGCTCATGATACTAAAGCTTGCTCAGGATCCCAGAATTAATGGTCAGTTTAGTGCCCCACTTCTGTCTGGATCCCTGACCCTGGGTCTCCTGAGTCTTGGGCAGTGTTGGAGGTGTAGGGGGATTTGTGTGTATGGGGGGGGGGGAATAGGAAGGTAGAGCTAAAGCAGTCAGCACTTCACCCTCCTCCTTATTTCCCCAGAAAAACCCCATGCCTGTTTACGAAACTGCCATTTACGTTATGTTAGTTTGCTTGGGTTTTTTTTTTTAGTAACAATTTTCTTTTAAGTTGGGTAAGCTGCTTTCAAAACCTTTAAGTCAGAAAAGATTGAGTGGACATCCCATGGTTTTTCCTAGTCTTCCCTGCCAGTCTTTCATGGGACCCCTAACCCTTCTGTTCCCTTTTTATCCTCCCCACCACGTTCACCCTGACACACACAGGGGGAGAGCTCCAGGGAGAGGAGGGGAGAGGGCTCTGAGAAAGGCTTTGCTAATTGATCTTTTCTGTGCTGTTTTAATTCTGTGTTCAGACCTATTATTTTAGCATGGCCACTTCAGATTTCTCCTTTCTCTCCTCTTTTTCTGAAAATGTCTGCAAACGCACTGGGCTGTGCCCAGCTGAGCTGGAAACCAACAAATAGACATTATTATCGAAAAATGAGCACTCTGAAAAATCAGCCCCTGGAAGATAGCTCTGTAACTAATAAAAGAAAGGGGCCTTTTGATGACTCCAGCTGAAAAGATATTTTATTATTTTATTTTTTTCCTGTGTGTGGGATTTGAGATGTGTGACTCTGCTGAGCGGCCTGGTCCCCTGCTGCTCAGCCCAGGCTCGCAATAGGCCCCCCTCTGGCAAGTGTTATGGAGAATTGGGAGGAATTTTATGGCTGTCTTTCCTCTCAGCTCTCTTTTTCTTTTGTCTTCTTTGAAGAATGACTTTAGACATTTTATTTACATATTTAACTATGGATGAAAGAGGGGAAAGGAAGGATGGGGGCTGTCCTGGGAATAGTGATATTTTTAAATTAACGGAAATCTTATTAGGCCTCTAAAATTTTGAGCAAAGGTTTTTAATGAAACTTTGTAATTAAACATGATTTCAAATAATGTGCAAGGGCAAGGGATTTTTTTTGCCCCAACCACCTAATAAATATATGCATTATATTCTATGTAGTGTGAACATGTATATATGTAATATATACATATATGAGTTATTCTTAAACATTACTTTGAACTTTTTGCAAATGTTCACTGGGAAATTGTAAGGGTTTTTTGAGATGGAATATTCCAGGAGTCAGGCAGTGTCTTCCACAGGAGCTAAATCTTTTGGGAGGTGGAAGGAAGTTGAAAGAGAGGCCTGGGTTCATTGTGTTTAAAGCAGCAAAGTCAGAGGGATGAAGTCTTTTGACACAGGGACCGAGAGCAATCAAAGTTGTATCTTTCCTTATTATGTCAGTGGAGATCGTAAGCTCCACTCGAGGTTTTTCTGAGATGGGATTAGAGAAAAGCCCAACAATCTCTTTAAGAGAAAAAGTACTGAGACTTCCAGCCATAAAGAGAATTTAAACCCTAAGCCTAGCGTGTTATGAGCTAATTGCAGGAGTTCACTGGTGAGCCTTGAGCAGAGCTCAGAAGAAAGAAAAGTCGTGTTGGTGAGTTTGAGGATCAGAAGTTCCCGTGTTCACTGGGATGGTCACTCTTGGCACTGTCCACTTTGGTGATCGAGTGGAAAACACTCCTGTATTTCTTCCTGTAGTCAACATTTGCATTTAGTGAGGACCTTTTCCAACTCTATCTTAAATAAGAACGGCCTATGTACAACAGTTGCCTGGCGTGCAAGACTGATAGGAACAGGAAGCATCTCCCCTAAGGTTCTCCAGAAACTCACCAGATACCAAACTTGCATAGAAAATTCTATTCTCTAACTAAGTGGGCTTGCTTCTCCCCCCTCCCCACTTCCATTTTTTTTCTTCTCTGTAGAAAACACCTTTAGTCATTTGCAAGAGTACTTGTTTTAAAAAAAGAAAAAACATCAACAATGTTTGCACCACAAGGCAGCGCGGGCTCCAGCAAATGCAGCAGGCACAGTTTTAATTACGTCTGAAAACACGCCTTGTGAGCTGTTTGGAGGGGGGCGAGAAGCAAACAAAAAAGCGCCCGCATCGTAAAATGGGTGGAGGGGCTGCGATGCCTTGGAACAATTTAGGCTGCTATTTTAAGGCCACTTCCCTTGAAATGTGGATTGAAATATTACCAGAGGTTCCACGGGGTGCTTTCGTGTGAATTGCAAATCAAGAAGGGCTTTAATCCTCTTTCAAGCCTGGGCCTCGGCTCCCCACTGCTTCTGGCGCAGAAGGGACCATTCAAGGGGCAGCTTCTCCTCTCTGTTCCCACACTGCCAAAAACAACACCTCAGACAGACACCCTCCAACTAAATTAGATTAAACTCCCTCTCCTCCATAGCGCATTAGCCTTTTTACTGCCGAGCCTGGAGGCTCAGCTCCTCCCTGTTTAAAGACACAGTGCTCTTTTCGTTCCATCATGACTGTAGCAGCAAGTTTTATAGATATTAAAAAAAAAAAAAAAAGGGTGGCAGTGGTGGGGGAACAAGATACTCCCATCTAAGTGCCTTGAAATTGCAAGGACATTATCTGTTTCAAACACAGGCTCTGAAATGCAAACAAACAGGCCTTCACCCGGGACAGAGCTAGCTTCTATGAAAAGCACTTAAGCCTGTAATTCTGGATGGGATCTTTTTGAAGAATTACACGGGAAAAGGTCATGGAGTCCCAATGTGTGTGTGCATGCATGTGTGTGACTGTGTGTGCGTTAATATTTCACACAGTGTTGGCGGGTGACTGACTGGAAACACAGGCCCGTCTTCCACATTCGAACTTTGTTCTTTGCTGTAATCACCTGGTTCTTCCCACTCCGTGGTTGCTTGTGGTCCTCTCAGTGCCTCCATCCTATCTGCTTTTGGGCTCTGGAACCCTTTCCTTGCCAGTCCTGACTTGGGTCACCTGGGAAGGGACACAGGTCCACTCCAGGCCTCTGCTCTGCACAGGTGATGGAGGAGGCCAGGATTGCATGGGAAACTAAAAGCAGGAACACCCTGATCCCCGCTCTGCCTTAAGAAGAAGCAGAAAGAACCAAGCACTTGAGCTTGGCCTTCCTTCAGTGGGCTCACACATGGATCCCACCCTTGGGGTGGCTCCGGATGCAGACGTTCAGTCTGGATACCCCATAGTGTAGCTGTGTGACCTGGGATGAGCTACTTCTGGTCTGGATGTCTCA